CCTTGATATGGAGAATAAAAATTCAGAATATTAATGAAAATTTCTCCTATTATGCAGATAAAAGGTAATGTATAGAATATAGTTGAATCTCTGTTTCATGCATACATGTAATTATTGTCCAAATCTGCCCATGAAATTTATTCATTTCTCTGTTCAATTAAAAATTATTCTCTGCCAGGGTTGGCAGGTGGCATAATGATTAAGGGTGCTGGACTCCCACATGGCTGACCATGGTTTGATTCCCAGACCTGTCAGCTTTCTTTCTTACTTTCTTTCTCTCCCTCTGTCCCTCTCTAGTCAAATTTAAATAAATAAAGTTAAATAAAATATTCGTTTTAATTATTCTCTACCCCCTATAGTGTAGGTATTATGCTAGAACAGTCAATCTGCCGCAAATAATAATACATAAAAAATAGTGAACAAGACAGATACAGTCTTCGTTTTATAGAACGTGGTGTCTGTGAGAACAAGGAGTCACTCATTACACAAATACTTATTAAAATCTACACATCAAACGTTCATCTTAGTGTAAGAGACCTCACATCAATAACATAGATCAGAATCTGATGCTTGTAGAGTTTCATTTTTATTAGGGCACACAGAATGAATAACCCGGGGAACAATAATTAATATATTAGCAAATATCATGAAGAAATAGAACAGAATGATACGATAGGAAGTTGCTTTGTGTCCAGAAGGTAATAAGTAATAGTGGCCATTTAAGCTAAGGAGAATTTTCTGAGCTGAGTAAACAGCTTGTAAAATCCCTAAAGCAAGAATGAGCTTGTCTGTTGGAGAAAAACCAAGAAGGTCAATGTCATTTGAGTGTCTGGAATGTCATTTGAAGGTAGTAAATAAGGAGGCCATGTCTCCATGGTAGGGGCGGATCTCACAGGCCACATAGTAAGAAATTTTGAGTTTATTCTTATGTAATAGGAAACTGTAGGAGGAGTTTAAGAAAAATAATGACACATTCTTGTTCACTGTACATTACATTAAAACAACAATTACACATGAAATGAGTGCTATTCAAAGGCTCAGTATGAAATGGCTCCATCAGAGTAAGGTAGAGTTGTAATTAGCCACAAAAAGGACCTTCTCACTATGACCCTAAGACCTGAGTGAGACCCATGAGTGGAGACAGTTGGGGAAAAGTTTTCTAAAAGGCTGATAGAACTCTAACTGCTCATCTTCTGAGCCAAATAGGTTATATTACTTCTTGAAATTTTGGATTCTGACCTGTAACAAGCAAACTATAAAGCCTATCAGTTGAAAAGTTAATAGAAATTCTGTAGGGCTCCTACATGGCATGAGAATTAAAGTCTATTCTCCAAATGAAGTAGGTGGGACATTTCCACAATGTGATTGAGAAGATAATTATTGTGAGTTAACTCTGTGTCCTGGGGGTTAAGGGAGCCAGATTGTACACTGCTAACCCTACAGTTCAAGTCCTGGCCCAGCAGTTTAGAAAATACTCTGGGCAGGTATGCGGGCATGCACCAAATCCCAGCAAGTTGGAAAATGGAGTGAAAGAGATGGCAGCAATACCGCATCCCCCTGGGGGAGTGCTTTCCCCCTCTTCCTCTCTCTCTATCACTCTGTCTCTCTCTGGCAAGGGCATGTGCCTTCTAGAAAGTAGAAGGAAAAAATTTTAATATAGTTATTTCTATTAATCTTCTTGGCAACTGCCATTTTTCCCTAATCTCTATGCATAAATCATACATATTTATTGTCTTAAAGTTTAGTGACAAATTATTAAAACATACTTATCAATTGTCTACTTATTTTACACAATGAGGAAGTCCCCCACATGCAAAAATTAAACAAAAGAGAATCCTCTCATTTCATATTGCAGCCTCAGCCACCGAAACATTGACAAAAGTAAAACAGACCTCAGGATTCCCTA